TGTTTGGAGAGAGAAACATAAATTGATCACAAATTATTTTATCCTGATAGCATTTATAATAACATTTGATTGAAATACTTGAGCCATTTTTCTCTTATTGAAATGAATGGGAAATAAAACTGTTCTGGATAAGAAGATTGTTGTTTTTGTGGAAATTATCATTTAGACAGCATATCAGGTGGCAAGAGTTTTTTCAGGAGACATAAGTACTATGTATGTGGAAGATCATTGTAAACATTTTTCTGCTCGTGTTTTATGTTCTGTATTGAGGCATGGAAAATTAACTTTGTACAGCTGCAAGAGAAATTTGTTTAAATAAAATGAACCAAATTTGCTAATGCATGTATCATAAGGAATTTTGAATTTTCATGCTTTATCCTGTTTACAGCTTGAGGGATGTGTGTGATTTATACTCATTTATTTATTTTCAGACCTCTGAATTTAGGATTGCATTCTTCTGACATCCCAAATTGTACGTTCCCTCCACAACTCATAGTTTGGGAACGAGACCCTTGTGTGTATAATAACTTTGATGAAGTCCATTCTGTCCGAGGCTTTGATTGAGGTTTTGAAACATATTCCTTCCCCACTTAATGGTACATGCACCTTGTCGTGGTGGTGGGGCTTGAGTACCTCAGTGACCCCAAGAGCTATGCTGGCGGTAGCATAGCTACTGGTAGGGCCTCCCTAGCCAGATTGGTCGAGGGGGAGAGGTCAGACTAAGACAGGTACCCTGGTCCTCCAGGTTGGGGGTTGGTCACAAGGCTAACAACCTTACATCGTAAAAAGGAAGATGTTTCAAAGCCTCGGACAGACAGACCTAACAGAGGACTGAGTGGAAGAGGAAAATTGAGGAGGCCATGGACTGAATACGGACTGGAGAGCCATAGAAGATGAAGAAGTGTTTCTGCCAAGTTCCACACATGGAATCACCAGGATTCTTTGTGGTCAAGCAAGACTGTTTCTGCTTCAAATGGCGTTATTCTTTGACGTCAGTCCACTTCCACCCAATACCCTATGCACCTATTGATGATTAGCAGGTGGGTATTTGTTCTACACCAGGGCTGCGTCTGCGTAAGTCACACGTATGTCTGTGTTCTCCCTTAACCTCGCTGAGTACTGTCCTTTCAATTTTGAGGACACTATCCGGGACAAATAAAGCGCCTAAGCATTCGTACTTCTACTTCAAAAACTATTGTTAATCCTACTGACGGTTCATATTTATAAATCTTATGGGATGGAGACTGAAATCTTTTAGGGTGACCTACGAATGCAATTTCCAGTCGTGAATCCGCTAACAATCCCAAGAATTTATAAGCGTGTGGTTCTACTAATGTGGGGTAAATATTAGTATGTTTCCAAAAAAATCTTTCAACTAATTCTTTAGCATATACACTTGAACCATGTAAAACATGCGGGTGTGAAACATGCAGTACAGTAAATTCAGTTTCTCCTATTTCTGGTTTTGAAACACAACAACCCATATAAATTACTACTAATATATATTCATCAGCATTCACAGTAAAGAAAGACAAATGTAATGAAACTAATAAGCCACAACATAAAAATAATCATAAAGCACATTAGCCAAATTTGCTAATGCATGTATCATAAGGAATTTTGAATTTGCATGCTTTATCCTGTTTACAGCTTGAGGGATGTGTGTGATTTATACTCATTTATTTATTTTCAGACCTCTGGATGTAGGATTGCACTCTCCTTACATCCTAAAATATACGTGCCCTCCAGATCCGGATGTTGTGGTTTTCGACGAGCAAGAAGGGAATAAACACCATAGTGTGTTTAGGAACTTTGACGCTGTGTTTCAGCCAAGTTCCACACAGGTTAGTAATGATTTTAGATAGCCCTGTCATTAATGTTCATTGAGATACTTGTGTTGATTTACCTTCTCAGTAAGCTTATAAGTTTACTATGAACTCAAAAGAAAACAATACTCCAACTGTGTGAAATATTTATGTCTCAGTTAAGATAATAATTTATAAACTGTTAAAGTTATTATGCATTCTTTGCATGATGTGCATGAAATGAGCACATATATGTCTGGTCATGGCTGTCTGTCCTCATAATTCAACTTGAGATTCACTGGACAAATTTGGTATGGGCATTATGCCATGGTTCATATCCAGGTCAGTCCATATGGAATTTATGGATTTGTGGTATAAACAGTGGCACTGGGACAGCTTTTTCTTTGAGTTCTTTGGTTTTCACCTGTCAGTATTATTACACGACTGCTCTGTATTTACTCGTATTATCTGCGGGATGGACAGTGGGCCTGTTACCAGCCCAGTTACCCAGACGTAGTTTAACCTCATCACAGCAAAAAAGGATGGGGAGAGCTCCATGCATTGTTGTGCATACCGAATGTAAGTTTGGTGATTGCATGGGGTGGGGGCAGATAGCATGTGCAGGAGATGTGAAAAATGTGTATACAATTTGTGTGTAGTAACCTCAATAGAAAAAGTACACTCGGGAAAGCTATGTTTCTAAGGCTTACTGTTTTTCTTTTGTCTCATTTAGTCTTAGTTTTTAACTTCCAACATTAACATTGAATCACTGTGAAAGCTTAAAATCATTTGTTGCAGTTGCTACAGGGAAGTGTACATTGGGATGTACAGTCACATTATGATTTAAAGGAAAGCAGTACTCGTTTGAATCTGGAGGCCCAAGTTTAGACCTCTTTCTGATCAGCTCTCTCAATTTAACTTAATTTTTTAGTTATATAATTTTGCATATATTAATGACTCTTACAGGAAATTAATTTTGCAGTAAAATAAGAAGGCAGCAACAGTGGTTTGTTAATTCAGATCAATATATGATGAAAACACATTCATTCTTGAGCTTTCTCTTTATGTTTCAGGTTCAAATGTACCAGTCAATTGTACAACCGATGATTAGTGATATCCTTGACGGATATTACTTCACAATTATAGCCTGTGGCCAAACTGGTTCAGGCAGTACTTTTACAATGGAAGGGGAGATACCAAATGGACCTCTTCCTTGGGACGCTGTAAGTATATTTATATTTATTCTCCTGTTGGCCTACATTTCATTTTTAAGGAAACAAAGGTTAGTACCATCCAGTTTGTGTGTGTTCCTTCAAGTGTAGTACCATTTGTTCAGTTTTTGGCAAAACTGGATGCCACCCCATATTTTGAATTTCTTTCAGTTACGATCAGACACATCTTGTAATGTGGTGATACTAGTTTGACTTAATGTATTTTGCAAAATGAAATATAGCAATTCTTAGAAATGATGAGCAAAATCATTAGAGTTTGATGATGAAGAATGGAAATGTGTTTTTCCATTTTCAGTGGTACCAAGCAACATATGAAAGTCTTAAAATAGAGAATTCTAGGCAGGTAAAAACAATGGCAATCATTTCCCATTTTTATTTACATATTGTATTCTGACTTATTTCATATCCTAGTCTCATCTGACTAATTTATGAATCTATGGAAATATTTCAGTTAATACTTTGGTTCTTCTGCATTCAGTGTCAATGTGGACAGGGCTCCCGAAAAGTTTCAAATGGAACTGATCGACCTTCAGTGCAACAATGACTTGAAAAATAAATGTAATTGTGTTGTTGGTACCAGGTCTACAATTTATGTGACGTGTCATTACGTTTTTTGTGGACAGAGCCGCGCATGTACCTTTCAGGTATGTAGAGCATGGGTGTCTGATTGGCCTTTATCATCTTTAGTGCTGTAGTTTCACTTTCTGCATATTTGCCTTATGCAGTTGATACGTTAGTACACAGATATTTTTATAGGTAGCAGCATGAATCTGGAAGCATGTCCTTAAATGGTCAGCTGTGGGTTGATGGGTGATAAGGGGGTATTCTACTACTACTTACAAAGCTTGGGGTCCTGGTATGCAAGCAAACTAGTCAGTGAGGTACCAGTCTCATGCAACTTTCATTCAGAGATGTTAGTAACAAAGTAATAGGTTTGTGAAAATTAAAGCAATATAATTGGATGCTGGTATATGGGGACAGGCACAATGTTTTTAGCTTGTGTAGTATAGGCCTGACCAGCACCTCAATGGGCTTAAAGGCAAGCATTCAGATTTGTGCCACTTAATGTCAAACTGCTTTTAGGTGAACACAGGTATATTATTACAGGTTTTTTTATTTTGGGAATCACTCCTTTTTGCACCATAAATTATAATTATAATCCTTGTGGAACTGGAAAAATCCATGTACTGGTGGACACTTCACACTGGTATTTAGTTGGCTTTCCTAAATGTTGTATATTTATGTATATTTCTTCTACATATGTATTTAATGAAATGCTTATTCCATCTGATTTTCACTGCACACTTATTGACATGGTAGCAGTGTTGAGGTGAATTGTGTTCACCTTACGCAGTGTCTCCTTGCATTCTGCCAGTGTTAGATTCCAAGCAAAGTTGTCCATAAGGCTATAAACATATGGATGCCCCACTCTGTAATTTTTCATATAAAATGGTGGCTGGCCCTTGCTTCTTGGATTAGACCAGCACTGTATTTGACTAGTAATGTTTGTATGGACTCTTATTACCAACGTTTATCAATTTATGTTCAGCCAGAATGTAGCTGTGCATACACACAGACACAATGTTGCTATCCTCCTTACAGATGAATAATATGGCATAGATATTACAGACAAGCAATTGTAATTAATGAGTCTTTGGATTCTATGTCAAGGAATGTACAAGTACTGGCTTATCAAGGCAGCCACTCTACTATTGTAAACAGTTGTATAATAATAACAACATTTTCAGAGACTGGAAGGTAAGAAGATTTCTCTCTTCTGTTTTGTTGCGCTGTGTAGTCTGGTCGATGTTTACCAATGTTTCAGAGGTCATACTGCCTCCGTCATCAGGGCCATCATCAACATAAATCCGTATTCATTTACTTTGGAGTTAGTGGTAGCGCAACAACCCAGAAATAGAGACATCTTCATACTCACCGCTGTGAAAACCTCAAATCTTACACTGGAAGGTAAATTTTATAGTATACTTTTGCCTTGTACACGAACGCTATTATAAGACAGAAGAAAATGTTTCTCATACAGTAAAACCTTTAAAGATGAACCAATAAAACAACATAAATTGCACACCTGAATTTTTCGTCTTACTACAAAATTTTAGAAAATGGTCATTACAGTTTTTGGTTGTTAAACCTTTTGGATATTTTACATGTTGAAATTTTAGGCTATATAAGGCCCCATTCTCTTCAATAAAGACATGTAAATAAGTATAGCAAAAAACGTTTTGTTGTATTACTGTGTGAGTCACTTGGCTGCTATGTGCAACATTAATGGATGTAGCTATTTTACATTTCTGTTATTTGTTTGAAGGGATTCAGGATTAACTTACCTGTTAGAAAGTTCTTTTGGACGCCGGACAAAGACCTCCATTATTGCAACAATATCACCTACAGAATGTAATGTGGATGCGACATATAGAACTTTGGATGCTATCACCAGAGCAAAGGACAAATTCAGTCGTCGAGGAATTAACTAGAAGCTTAAGAAGGATCTTATCAAGGTAGGACAAAAACTCATCGTGTATGAATCTGTTCTTTGGAAAGGCAGCGTGTGTATTTGTGCTTGTGCATGCGCACATGCATCTGTGTGTCTGTATATTTGCTGTGGAGGCTGGCATTTGTAAGCAATTAAATTGTGGCCATCATGTGTACAGGGCAGAGTGGATTGCCGCCCAGGACTCTGATTTTTGTGTAATCTTCATAAGGAGCACTCCAGAAGACCTGCAGTTTTAGGTCTCTGGGATCCTTGGTTTGAATCGCAATCTGCACGTGGATGTTTAAACATTTTTTGTTCTGTATGGGTAGAGTTTTTCAATGATCTTGTTCTGGAAGTCATACCCATTGTCTGATTGGTCCCTGGCTTTGCCAGCATGTGACACAGAAAGTCCCAGCTCAGCTCAGGCAGAAAAATGTATCACTGTTTTCGGCTGTTAATTTGAATTTGAATCACGGAAGCATTTTTTTGCAAGCTTGTAGCAGTAAGCGTACATTCCAGTAGACTAGCAGCTTGGAGAAATGTCGGGCGATTTGCTGGTGAAACAGAACAGTTGACAAAGTACCAGGCAAAGACATGATTGTCAGCCAATACTGTTTCAAGGCTTTGGCCGCTGATTTGAGATACTGTAATATATTAATAGCGTATGAAACTAGTTCTAGCTGTTTTATGAAGGTAGTCACAGAATCAGTCCCTGTTTTTATCCTCCTGAGCTTTGGTAAGGAAATCTTCAGTTTCCCTGCACAAGGGTACATTCCTCTAGATTTATGCACAGTTTTGATGAGGGAAATAAGAGCAGACATTTGGTGGTAAATATCCTGCAAGCAGTTCACAGCACTCTGCTTATAATTCATGTAACACTGACATTTTTAACAAAAAAGAGAGCAAAGCTGTAACTCAGATATCTGCACAAAAAGGGCAAAAAACTTAATGTAAAATGCTATTAATGTATCATGCATAACCACTTATTTTATAAGACAGTATTGCTGACAATTTATAATATTAAAATTTTAAGGTTAAACAAATTCTTTTAACAATCCTGTAAGTTTTAATAAGATTGCAGTGTATATGGAAGTGGTATTATTATCCATACACAATTCAACCTATCAATGAATCCACGTACGGTAGTGCCTTCAGCAAGTAGACTAGCCAGGGAGTTGATCAATCATAACTAACTAACTAGATGGCTTACCAAACCCGAAGGTTCATCACCGAATTAACCAAAGCCCTCCACCGGACCCTGTCCTGGGCCAACAAAATCCAGTTTTCTTCAACTCCTATCTCCCATAGATCCCACTTCAGATTATCCTCCCATCTACGTCTAGGTCTCCCCAGCGGTCTCTTCCCCTCAGGCTTCCCAACCAATACCTGGTGCACACCTCTTGTCCCATGCATGCGCGCTACATGCCCCACCCATCTCATTCTTCCCGACTTAATCACCCTGACAATACTGGGGGAGGAGTACAGATTTTTAAGCTCATCTTTATGCAGTTTTCTCCACGCCCCATCGTCTTCCCTCTTAGGCCCAAATATCCTCCTCAACACCCTATTCTCAACCACATGCAATCTGTGTTCCTCCCTCTGAGTGAGAGACCATGTTTCGCACCCATACAAAACAACAGGCAAGATTATTGTTTTGTACACTTTAATTTTCAGGTTCTTAGAAATCAGATGGGAAGACAAAATATTTTGAACTGAGAAGTAGCAAGCATTTCCAGAATTTAATCTCCTCCTAACTACCTCATGAGTGTCATTTTGATTTGTTATTGTTGTTCCCAAATATTTGAACTTTGTAACCATTTCAAAGGACTTAATATCTACCCTAAAATAATTTGCCCGCCTGTCTGCTGATGGCGAGATACTAACATGAACTTAGTTTTTTCTGAATTTACTTCTAGCCCCACCTGTCTACTAGCCTTTAGTAAAACTTCTGAATTCCTCTTTATTATATTCATGTCGTCCCCCAATAAAATAACTTCATCAGCATATGCCAATAGCTGATGTGTCCCATTCAGTTGCAAACCCTCCTGCCCATCTTGGACTTTCCTGATAGCATATTCTAGCACAAACTTAAAGACAAGGGAGACGAAGCATCTCCTTGTTTTAGACCGTTCTTGACGAAGAATGGCTCAGATACATATTTACCTACTCAAATTTTGCTACAGGTTTCATTTAAGCACATTTTTATTAGACTCGCTAGTTTCTTTGGTATACCAAATTCAATAAGAATATTATATAAGACTTCTCTCTTCACAGAGTCATAGGCTTTTTTGAAATCTATAAATAATTGTAAGATTTGAGGTTCTCACAGCGGTGAGTATGAAGATATCCGTCTTCTGGGTTATTGCGCTGTGTAGTCTGGTCGATGTTAACCAACGTTTCAGAGGTCATACTGCCTCCGTCATCAGAGTATGAAGATTTCTGTCTTCTGGGCTGTTACGCTGTGTAGTCTGGTCGATGTTAACCAACGTTTCAGAGGTCATACTGCCTCCGTCATC